ACCAGTTTGGGTGCAGGGAACTTCTGTTCAGTTCCAGGTTTAGACTGATTGCTGGTCACTGGGGCTGGGGCTGTAAGTGTAAGGTCAGCACCGGGATGAGCTAAATTTAGATTGGGGAGCCATTTCAAACTCGATTTAGCCTCCCCAAATGTCTGTACCTTGCCAGTAAGAGTGCCACTAGCATTCAGAAAAGTACAGGAATTGCCCTCTGCTACCCAGGTAGCCACTTGAAATATGGTTTCTTCTCCCTTATTTGCATTACAGCACAAATTTGGTCAGGGCTGAAAGAGCTGGTTATGTCTCTGTCCCACAGGGTAACAACATGCTGCATAAAAAAGCCCTGTCTCTTTTTAGTTTCAAACCTCTCTGCTGGTAATTTCAGTCGCTGCTCCCTAGTTCTACTATTCTGGGACTTGGTAAATAAGAGCCAAGTTCCCTATTCACTTTGTCCACATCCTTCATGACCTTAAAGACCTCCATTAAATCCCCCACCAGCCTTCTCCTTTCCAAACTGAAGAGCTGTTTAATTCTCCTCTTACGGCAGCTGCTCGATACCGCTGATCCTTTTGGTTGCCCTTCTTTGTACCTTTTCTGATTGTATCTACTACATCTTTTGAGATGTGGAGGCCAGAACTGCACACAGCATTAAAGATGTGGCCTCGCCACAAAATTATATAATGTCCCATATTTTTTTTGTTTTGTTTTCAGTTCCCTTCTTAATGATGCCCAGCATTTTATTAGAGGCATGGATTGTTAGCAGTATCTGTGCATTTAGGAGTGCTTTTCGATAAGTTTTTGGGGTTTAAGTGCCCTTCCTCATGACCCGAGCTGACCATCATAGTGACTCCACCCCTGGAGGGTCATCTTAAATTTCATTAGGTTTTTTGGTTGCCGCTGCACGTTGAGATGATGTGTTTAGAGAATGATCTACAATGCCTCTTACCTTTCAAGGTCTCTTTTCTGAGTCATAATAAGGGCTGGGTGTGTAAGCACAAAGAAAGACAGACCCCCCTCTAAAGGTCTTAAAGTCTAATTAGCCATGAGATCTGACTCTGAGTAATGAAGACAGACCTTCTTTCAGGAAGGCTTAAGTTATTTTCAGTTGTTACTGGGGTGCTGTACTCCAAAGAAAGATTTGCACACACGTAGCCATCAGCAGCGTGCAACAAGTTGTTTAATTGATTCTGCAAACTCCAAGAACTAGCCTCCGTGTTCTTGAATACTACCTTGCGGCAGCAGTAGTTTGCTGTTACTGTACTGGATTGCAGCTCACTGGTTCTGCATACGTATTTCCACAGCGCGGTCCATGCTGGTGCATTCATTCACTGAGAACACAGAAGAGATTGGCTCCCTGCTCCGACATGGCTTGCATTTGCACAGAATTGCACTTTCAGGGAAACGTTGGATCCTTCAGCCGGATCCTGTGTGGACAGACTTGTCTGAGAATGGTGTTGCCAAACGCTAGCAAGTTTGTACTGATTATGTGTGAACGGAGACCTTGTAAAGGCTCTTACACTTGCTCCTCCCAAACCAAGCCTGGGCTCAGAGGAGCTTCCCAAAACAAGGTTGCTAGATTTTTTTAACAAACTATTTTCACTAATCTCGTTCTCAGAAATCGCTGGACTGTTCTGTCAGGCATGTTATAAAATATTTAGCCTGAGGTAACACCTGCACTGGAAAATTTCCATCCAAGTGGTTTATGGTATCACAGTTTATAAGCAACTTAAAAGATGTATCTTATAATGGGAAGTGATGGGCAGCCATGCTGATAGGTGGTATTGCCAGGTGGTTTGGTAATACAGACATACCTTCATATAGCATGCTCCTAAAAGACAGGCTGTCCTGCTTCAGCTGCCCTTCAATCCACTTCCCTGTCTGAGCAAAATGATGCAAAGAAGCCACAAGATGGGTGACAGAGTGCAGTCTAGTATGAGCTGTCACCCACAGGGGAGATATTTTTCAGAGACACGGTAGAGAAAATTACGTGTTTCATAGTTTTGTAGTCAGGGGCTGGAAGGGACCTTACAGGTCATTGGGTCCAGCCCTCTCTCCCGTCTCCTTTCCCTTAGTTCAAAAATTAAAGAAAAAAAAGTCAATCGCCCTCTCCTAGGATTCAGCTCTTACTTTAAGAGGCTTATTCGAGTGATGGCAGGAGTTCTCGCCATGCTGCAGCTCCTCCTCCTCCTCCTGCTGCAGTCCCGCACTCCCATACACTGACACATCAGGACCAGGGTGCTAATTACCTCCCCAGATGTACCCAAATCCAACACAACTCGGAATTTAAGATAACCACTAATAATTAGATTGTGGATTAATTATAAATTATATTAAATTGGATTGTAAATACATTTCATGAATTAGATTATAAATTTGTTATCATCATTTCTAAGTCTAAAATCTAATTTTTGGAGGGTCATCTTAAATTTTTCCCTTCAGCCCTTCAGCAGGGGAGCAGAGGCTGTGGGAGACAGTGGTTGCAGCTCAGGGTCAGAGTCAGAGCTGCAGCTGCTGCTGTTTCCCTCTGTTCCTTGTACTCTAATGTGAGGGGTTTTATCCCCGTGTTGAATGGGGAGGGGAGCCTCATCTTATATCTGAGTAAATACGGTATAGCCATTGATTTTTTTTTTTCTGCCCCCCCATGTCATCTGTGGTCTTTTCTAGTTGTCTCCTCGAAGGACTCAGGGATTGTTTTGGCCCATTAAAGCTAGAGAAGTTGAAAGAAAATACTGATTTCAACTGGAGAAAATACAGGTGTATCGGCCAAAATCAGAGTATTATGATCATACTATACAGTGGTTTCCACCTGATACGTGTTGCCCTGTGTGTAAATTATGACATATGGAAATAAACTGGGACAAATTTCTTAACTCCTGCTTTTTCCAAAATAGTCACAATTCTTCTCCTGTGGCAGGAGGGTATATACTATTCTGTGTATCAACTGATGTTATAAATTCTGTATCACTCGAAACCTTAAAATCAAAATTGGAGGTATTTCTGGAAGAGACACTATAATTCCCTGCAAGTTATAGCCTTGATGTAGGAATTGCTGGTGGGTTTCTATGGCTTGAGTTACACAGGAGGTCAGACTAGATAGTCACAATGGTTCCTTCTTGCCTTAAAGTTTCCGAATCCCTACCTCTGTAAAAGACAATAAGCAAGTAATGTCAGTATTGATTAAGGGCTTTACTGGCCTATGGTGATCTCAACATAGCCTTGAATGCACACACAATTTCTAGATTTTACAGATTTTGTAAAGTTGTAGGATACTTGGGATTCTCACTGATTTCAGTATGGGAACCTCAGGTTGCCTGTAGATGTGCAGGGAGGCTGCGCTGACACGCTGTAATTACAGTGCGTCAGAGCAGATTCGATTAATCTAGTCTGCTGGAGCTTGCTAATTAGCGCGCTTCATTAAGCCCCTGCATCTCGTGTATCAGCTCTCCCATGCTTCGAAATGGTGGTGGGGGCAATTTAACTAAAGCTCACTCGACGAGCTTTAGTTAAAGCGCTATTTTGAAGCATGGGAACACCGATGCATGAGAGACTGCGGGCACTTGAATTAGAGCAGCTCTTGGAGTCGCTCTACTTAAAGCCACAGAGCACATGTAAAAATGACCCAAGCGTACCTTCATACATTTGTGGTAAGATTCTTATTTTACAGTGCACTAATATCATGTGTCTTGAAACTTTTGAGCTATCAAGATCCAGGTTGAAAGCCTGAATTGTCCTGTCTGACCCATCAAAATATCGGTGTTTTCCATCCAGTTTGTTCAGGTGCAAATGGCTGTGCATAGTGCCAGCCAGTAAAGGATCAGGTCCTGTATTAAAATCTTTTTAGAGCACTCTTCTTGCAGGATCAAAGTATACACGAGAAGCTTGAACTTGTAAGAGAATGCTGATGGTTCTGGTATTTAGTCCAGTCTGAGATTTTGGCTTGACTAGTCCTAATGATATAAAAAAAATCCCCAACTTGAAGAAGGACTGTCTGTGCCTGAAAGCCTGTCAGACATCTCTCCCAACTATACAATTGTTCTAATACAAGGTATCACAAAAAATCCTTGCATCTCATACATTTCCTGATCCATCATGGATACAACAACACTCCAGCCCTCCCGACCCCCCCCCCCCACCCCCCCCCCCCCCCCCCCCCCACCCCAGCTTTACTGCTTGTTTGTGGAGAAAGTAAGAGAGGGAGAGAGGTGGTATATATTGAGGGCATTCTCCTCTGAAATGCTGCTTCCACAGGATGCTGCTCACAGACTCTTCATTTTATCCAATGACTTTTCAATATAACATGCATAAGCAGTGATTGGGGCAGGCTAATCAGCTCTGCCTCTCAGCAGTGCTAATTAGCGTACCTGCAAACTCCACGTAAATGTGGCTACACTACTTCAGGAGATGGCACACGTGGAGCAGCATAGCATATCTGAGCAGAGTGCAGACATGACCTGAATGAAGGTGGCCAACTTGCAGCACGTGTGCCAAGTGGCACAGGAAATATGTGTGGGGCAAACAACAGACGGGGGAGGGAACGGGCAGCACAGTGGCAGATAGGGCAAGAAGCAAAAAGCAAAGCAGCAGGTTGGGCAAGGGGCACAGGCCAGGAGCAGACGGTACGGAGTACAGGGCAGGGGGAAGAAAACAAAGCAATCAGTTGGGGATTGGAGTGACACGTGGGGAAGTGAGGGGCTAATTTGTGGCATGCCTGATAAAATAGGTTGGCCTCCACCAATCTAAATCATACCTATCTCCTACTTTAGGCACTTAAATCCTTCTGTGGATCTAGGCCTAAGTTACTCTGAGCCTAGTTCAACGCTTGCCTGCCCTGGTGCAATTCCTTTGGATTGATTTATACTCATGTAAATGAGGTCACAATTATGAGTGTAAATTGCAATTTTTTATCTTTTTCACTTTGACTTCTAAAAGTTCCCATGATAGTCACATAGATTTGATATTAATAAAAGTTACTCCCTAATTTGACCAAAGTTTTTTATTTGCAGGAGAAATTTGAGGGCTTGTTCCGTGCCTATGATGACTGTGTGACTTTCCAGCTGTTTAAAAGCTTCAGGCGTGTGCGGATAAACTTCAGTAGTCCTAACTCGGCTGCTCGTGCTAGGATAGAGCTGCATGAAACACAGTTCAGAGGGAAAAAGCTAAAGCTATACTTCGCACAGGTAAAAACCTTTTGACTTGAAATCCTTTCTCTTATTACCTCATTATTGGGGTGGTTTCTTTTCACTATTGCATAGATGCAGAAACATGGCCTAGTAAAACTGAATGAAATTAATATCAATGAGCAGAATTGGTTCTGTGTTTTTTGTGGTCATAAAAAGGCTCCTATAAGATGCTAGAATTTTCTCAGCTCTGTACTGAACCTACAAACTCAATGTAGAGTTTAAACTAGGCAATAGGAAATCTGAAGGGGGGTGGGTCTTGAATCACCTAGCTCTGGACTACAGGGAAGAAGCTATATTGGATTGGGATTTATGCCCCCAACTTCTCTTGGATGTAGGTTCCTAAATCATCCCTTTTAAAATGGACACTGATGCAACCCTTTTATAAACTACAGGCAACCCCCGCTTAACACTGTTTTGCTTAGCACTGTTTCGCTATAAGGCTCATTTTAAATAGATAGCTGATGCCACTTAGCGCTCGGCGAGTTTTGTTATAACGCTTGCAGTCGCCATCTTGGGTTGTCAGAAACTTTTTGATTCACTTAACGCTAGGTTTTGCTTAAAATGCTCAGTTTTTCAGGAACCAAATAAGAGCGCTAAGTGGGGGTTGCCTGTAATTTAGTGGCTAGTGGCTGTTTAGGCACTTAAATGAACTAATTATTAGTAGGGCTGTCAACTAATCACAGTTAATGCATTAATTGTTGTTCACATTAATTTTTTTAACGCATTAATAGTGCACATGGTTTTGGAGGCCGTATCTAGGCTCTACTCTGTCGCTGTCACTGCCACCACCAGGCCGCCCCAAGGGGCAGCGATGGCAGCCAAGAGGACCACAGAGCAGCCCGGGTGCATGTTCTGGTCAGCTGCATCGGGGGGGAGGGGCACACACAGACACAGACATGCCGCCGCAGCCTGCAGGGGGCCAGGAACGCAGCCCAGCAGCGTATGGCACAGCGCCCAGCAGGTGTGTGTGTGAAGGGGAGGGGGTGTTGGGGAGGGAAGAGCATGGGGGGCAGATTGAGGCCCCCATGCTTGGAGAGGGAGTGGGGCGGAGGCAGGGACAGTGGCAGAGATTGGGGTGAATGGGAACTCGGGGTGGGTCATGGGATGGTCAGAGCCTTGGGCAGGCTCCCACCGCTGCGCGCACTCCGGGGGGGACACGGGGGGTATGTGCCTCCTGGATTTGTGTACAGGGCAGAGGCAGGCTGAGGCTCTGCACCCTGCTGCCTTTGCCCCAGGAGCCACTCACTAGCTGTGCCACGTCCCCTGCCTGCCTGGCAGCCGTAGGCATGTGGCATTGCATGGCTCCCGGGGAACAGCAGAAGGGCTCAGAGCCCCATCCCATGGTGGTGGCCCGCCTCTGCCCCATGCACAAATCTGGGGGGCACATGGCCCCCATGCCTTCCCCTGGGTGCACAAAGCGGTAGGAGCCCTTTGCATTTTCTAGATGCCCACAGCTCCACCTGTCCCGCAACCTGCCCTGGGGCCCCATTCACCCCTGCCTCTGCCCCACTCCCTCTCTCACCATGGGGGCCTCGATCTGTCCTTCCCTCCCCCACATCCCTTCCTTTTCACACACTTACCTGCTGGGCAGTGTGTGTGTGTGTGTGTGTGTGTGTGTGTGTGTGTCTGCCTAT